GACCTTGGAGGGCCTTTCTTTTATTTCTTCATCTGAACAGTTCCTCAGCTCTCTGCTTCACTCTTTCTAATAGCTCCGTTATCTTTGACCTTTCTCTCCAAAAGCCCCCAAATCCAAGTGACTCCATACTAGCACCCCACACATCCAACCTCCATTTTACCAGTCTCCTAAGATTACCAAGATGCTACACTTCCAAAATCTTCCTCTCCACCTCAACTAATCTCTAAGCTGAAGGTCTTCTCTGCATTTCTCTTCTCTGAGTATTCCTAGTTTAAATCCCCCTGCAACTCCCTCTCTCTCTCTCTCATGCATGTGCTTTCCTCCCAAAGAAGCCCCTCCTGCCTTAGCTCTTGTTAGCTCCTACTCCTGCTGACTTTTCAAAAATTCCCCCATGTCCCACAAATTAAAATTAATGTACTTCCTTTGTACTATTCTGTGACCCTATTTCTAACTCCACTTTCCACCGTACCTGTGCTTTGAAAGCTTCATTTTCCCTCCAGAAGGCTCGTGTATTTGTTCCTTCATTGCCACCATCACTGCGGTTTCTTTTCTGTTGATCAAAATGTTCTTTCCCTTTTCAAGAAAGCTTCCCTCTCTGCCAGGCTGTGAAAGGAGGGAAGAGCCTGTCTTGCATCCTAATAGATGGAGTATCAGCTCAGTTCGCACGTAGTGAATGACAGGGTCTTGGCTGGACTTACTATAAATACTCCAAGACAAGGAAGGAAGAGCTCTGGTCTGGAATTGACTAGTGAAAAGCAAAGTCTTGTTTGCAACATGCTGCCAGCCAGGCTGATTAGAAACCTTGCCGGACTTGTTGCCTGTCTCTAGCAGCTACAACAGGAGGTGAAAAGAGAAGTCTTGGCTACTTCTGACTCACAGAATCACCTTGTTTCTTCCCTCTCTATTCGTTCCTGGTTTGGTCCAGCTGACATTTGGTGATAACAGAAGAAAGCCACTGCCCCTCAGGCAAAAAGTCCCATGACGTGTTTGTCGCTATTGCTAGAATTGCACCTCCTTCTGGATGTGTCTATGCCTAAAGCTAGAGCCATGGCAAGAGGGTGGCGCCTGCCAGTGCACACCGTGCCATGCTGCCTTGCAAGTCAGCTGTGATTTTTTTCATTCATCACTGATGAGAACTTTTTACATGTGTTTTTTTTTTTTTTGGCTGATCCTTATAAATCAGCAAGAGGCGTCAGTGGGTAAGATGGATTAGACTGTGCTTTTTGCAACAGGCAAGGGATGAGTGATTGCCATCTGGTTACCCTACTGAAAAAGCATATGACAAACCATTCTTCCACCCAACAATCCAGAGAGTTTGAAAGCCACAACAAAATGGCAATAAATAGATGGGTCTCCAAGCAGTCAAGGGATTTGAAATTTTGTGCCATTATTCCTCTTAATGAATTCCTGACAAGAAAAAGAGGAGTCAGGGCAAAATGAAAGAAAGCGAAACAAGTGGGAAGAGAACTTTTTCTGTAAGATCACTTTCCCACAAATGGAAGTGTCTCAACTGGAGAAGTGGGTACAAGGATGATAAGAAAAGAAAAGAGGCCTTAAGCAAAATGCATTGCTCACCTCATTTCTACTAACCTCCTCCATTAGAGTTGTACATCAGAAATAGAACCTCTTCTCCGTAGAGGCACAAGATATTTGAATCCTGTGAAACAGACAGTCCTAAAACATTGCAGATTACTTCCTGGTGTTTTAAAAAATGGAACTTGGCAAATTCCTATCAGCAAAACCCTGTTTCTTTTTGTTTTGACAACTTACACTTGTCATTCTGGCTGAAAGATATTGAGTCTAATGACAATTTTTTTTAGATTATGTCCTTAACCTCTGTGTTTTCCACAGAAAAAGATTATGCAAAACAGTGTTATAAGGACATTGGATTCTGACATTTGAAATAATTTGCTATGGTCTATTACATTTTTATCTAACAGTGAATTCAAGCAGACATGAATAAATCAGTAAATGTATTTCTGATATAGCAAAACATGTCTTTCCTTGGTTGTGTACTGCTGTGGTGCAAATGTATGGAGTTTTAAAAGGAAGTGATTTTCAGCAATTATTCAGAATATTTTTCCATTCCATTCTATTATTATTTATAACCTTGTAACAGCATTAGCACGTTGATGCTGATTCTGCTGAGATATAAATACATCTTCTTTTTTGGGGCATGCCATCTGGAATCAGAATTCTTTCAAAGAAATGTAAATAGCTAGCTTTTTTCCCCACATTATATCTCTAACATTTTATTTTTCTTTTTGGATTTGCAGGTGGCAAAGGAGGGAAAAAGAAGAAAAACAAAAATACTGCCAAGCCCCAGAAAAATAATGGTTCAAACTGGGCCAGTGTTCCCCTCCCACCCCCTCCTGTGCAGCCGCTTCCAGGCACAGAGCTGGAACACTATGGGGTGGATCAGCAAGAAGCAGGGTAATTTTCTTCTTTTTCTTTTGAAGAAAAATTTGTGGTTTGCAGAGATGAGGCTTTTAAAAAAAAAAAATTTGCTAAGTGCCGATATTACTCTGTTTTGTTTAAAATAAAAAAGAGAGAGCACCTTATGCTATAGACTTATTCAAGGCTATGGAGGAGGAAAGTTTTCATATCTTCTCTTGATGGTGACTGAAGATGGAAATAAAAGTGACCTTGCTTCATCATCATGTAGGGCTTCTCTGCTTACTCATGCTGAGAAGTATCTCACTTCATAGGCAGCTTAATTGAATTCTGTTGGGACTGCTTGCAAAATAATGGGACTCAGAGTGAGTAAGGATGACATAATCTGGCTCCTTGTATTTTTTCACTGCTTTGATGTTTAAAAATATTAGAGCCAACAGAACAAAAACCCTCACGCTAAATTGGATTAATTTTAGAAGATCTACCAGCGGATAATAATCTTCTCATCGGCTTTTAAAAGAAATTTCACAGTTGAGGAAGGCATGCTATTTATAGGCCTTTTTTTATCATTTAAACAACTCTTGAGTTTCTGGAACAGTACACTTGTTTTTGGATAGCTTAAACTTGTTCTCAAGGACACAAGATCTCACAAGAAGCACTAAATGAGAGGAAAGAGACATTTCCTGCACAAAGAACAATTATGGAATGCTTTTTAAAAAGTGAAATTATGTGAAATACCAGGTTATCAAACTCTGGAGGAAAATCAGAATATATAGAAAAATAGTTTACTGTAGTCAGCTCTGTTGGAGCCTTTGAGAATCATTGTTCTGTCAGGAACAAATTTCTGCCTGTTTAAACACACGGATTAATCAATATTTCCTAAGGATGAAACATATGTTTTAAAAATCATTGTAATAGCTTTACTGAATAAAAATATTTCCAGTGTTATCTCTTTTGTAAGCATGAATTGATCATCACTACTTCTATAATGAAAATTAGAAGAATTAAATATTAATATTTGAGTGTCTACCAAGTCCTTCAACTCTTAAAATGAATAATAGCTAACTGTGTAAGTCAGCGGAGTTCCTTTTAAAATGAAGGTTCATTCAGGCTATATTAGAGTTAGAATTTCAAAGCAAATGCAAGGGAAAATGAATAACCTTAGTGATTGTTAAGTGTTGTTTAAAAGTCAAGGCAAAAAGTGCATATAATCATTATGTTCTGTATTCTGTTATAAAAAGCTAAAATAAATGTAAGATGGTTTCACCATATAATATTTGTCTTTATCAGTTTATATCCTTAAAACACATGTGCAGCCATTTCACTAAAATAATTATGCTGCAGAAGGCAAACAACTTGGATTTTCTTTCAGGACAATGAAATAGCATAAAAGGTAAATGGAAATGCCTTCTAGAGAAATCCCTTGTGACACAGGGCTTGACTCCTCAGTTGCATAAAGTATCTGTTATTGAGCTGGAAGGAACGATGTTGGTCACCAAGACAACACTGGTTATTTAAGGATAAGGTAATCACCAGCCTTCCAGGTTCCCCACAATTCAGACTTAGTTTTTCCTCTGATTATCTTTTGAATTACTCTTCTCTGGTTTTTGTAATATCTCATTAATCGTGGTTGTAACAAGACGTTCTAATGTGCATTTTACCAAACATAAAAAAAATTTGAAGATTAGCTTACAGTATCAGTCTTGAGCTACAGTAATTTGCAACCGACTTTACTGAAACCAATGAATCCGCAATGCCCATACTTCCTGAGGATGTATCCAATACTAATGGTTGTTCTGTATTCAGGGGCTGATCTTGTTTCTGTGGTTTTCAACATGCTAAAAAGGAATGAATCATAGACTGCATTCCTTATGTTGCCTTTTAATATTGACATATTGGGTAAAAAAAAAAAAAGCAAGCAATTTTTTTAAACTGTTCTGTTTTTCTTGATTTGCTTTGATGTATACTATGTATGACAAGTTCAATGTGTTTTAATTTTAGAATTAATTACATGCAGATGTAATTATATTGTAAATTACAATTGAAAAATGAACTTCCAGTCAGAAAAACTGAAGACTTTAATAAAGTTCTCACAATGTGATATGAAAGGTGAACGTTTAGAGCAATAAAATAAGGAAGCTGGCATCTAAACAGAGACTTATTTTTCTGTGCATGTCTTCCTATAACTCTTGATTTCAAGTGTGAGTTTCATTGGCATGAGTATCCCAAATAAACTAAACAATTTTGACACCTGATTTTGCTTACTAGAAATTAACACTAGTGGCCTATTGGCTTATAAATTGTAAAAGAAAATCCACAATAGCAGCAAGTGAAAAAAAAAGTCACCTAACTTAATCATAGGTAAGGATGAAAAAAACCACACTCTTAGTTCTCTCTACCATCTTCTGCCCAGAAGAACTGAGGTTTGCATTCACCTCCATTTTTCCATGAACTGCAACAAACATAAGGAAAGGTGAACATGTTAATCCAAGCAGCCATTTTATATAATGTGGTTAGCTTTTGGGATGTCTTAAATTCCTATTTAACCTGTGCAGAAAGTCTGTTTATACTGTTGTTTCCTTAGCAAGCTCTCTCCTGTGAAACTTTCCCCTTTTTTGTGGTCTTCTACAAACTCTGTGCTTGTTCCTTGTTGTCTTCCTAACTTTTCTCTTGTATATACCGCAGAGTCTTTGAAGTTTCTCTTTTCCTGTAGTAGCTCCCAATCAAGCATGTTCCCTTTCCCGCACTTTTCAGAGAAGATGTTTTTGCTTGGTTTTATCTAATAAACTTGACAGTAAGGAAATGCTTATTACTTATTCATTATCATCTACTTAGATTTTTTCACCAATAATGTGCATGATCTTGAGCCAACCCCAGTAAAGACAGCCTTCATATTGTTATCATTGATTATTTTTATTTCTTACTATTGATTCCACCTTAAAACGGAATATTAGCTGCTGGATATCAGTATATTTGATGGTCATTTTCTGTTTTTAGAAAAAATTTCCTTTTACATCAAAAAATCCTTTCTGACAAGGCCTAGAGAGGGAAACTTTCTTTGTTGCAACAATGTGTGTAATGAAACAGAATTGTTATAGAATGTGCCCCTATCTATCACATACATATAAATATCGGTGCGTTATCAGCTTCGTTCTCGTCCTAAATCCAACACACAGCACTGTACCAGCTACTAGGAAGGAAATTAACTCTATCCTTGCCGAAACCAGGACAATCACATCTATTTTTTATTTTGAAGAGGAAAATCTATCAATGTAATGAACCAAGCTTTTTAATAATAGAAGATTACTATAGAATAAAAATGCTGAGAATAGAATAAAAATAATTAGAAACCTAGAGAGTCGTGTTTGTTAACCAGAACTTGTTTGGGGACTTAATTATCATGAAAGTACAATCAGAGGTCCCTAGTGAAGTTAAGGTGCTTAGATTTTAATAAGAAGTACTTGAAATATGTTGCATGCGTTTTCACCAAGTTGTATTTACTCAGAAAACCAAAAATGTGATCGATATTCGCTATGCTGGTTCCAGAAGTTTCAATAACCGTATCATTTATATGAGGTGTAGTTACTATGTAGTCTGTTAGGTTTGCTAGCTTTTTCTTGCAGATTTTTTTCTTTTATAAAATGCAGGTTAGAACTGGTGGCTTTTCGGCCATCTTGCTTTATGAAGACAAAGGTTCTTGTACCTGAGATCTTGAATCTCAATGTCCTGAACTTCAGGCTTAGGCTCCTTTCCATTTCAGACAAAATCTAGGTAAAGGTACGGTACTTGTGCAGAATCTTTTTACTAAGAAATCTTTTTACTGTCAAGCTGAACACTGGGGGATTTGAAGCAAGTAGGTCAAAAGGCGAGCACATCCAAAGCTCATTTATGCATTACTGAAAAGTCACTAAGGAGTATCTTTCTGCCCTGTCCCTTTTAAAGAAGAAGCCATTATACCAAAGCATGAGGTTGAGAGAGTAAAAGTAAGTGACAAAGCTGTTGCACTGTACATTTTTAGCAGCATGAGTTAGGATGGTCCCTTCACCCTTGGGTGGCAATGTCATGAGTGAATACTGCAAGGAAAGACAAATTAGAGCTAGTTATATCTTAATTGTCTCCTAAGGAATTGAATATGTATCATGTAACATTTTCTTAAATCTCTGTGTTATGGAAATGGTAATGACCATTCACTCAAAAGCTCCTAAATGCCAAGTGTTAAGCTGCAGCATTTATTTGCACCTCTGTACACAAACGTATGTTTGTGTATCTATATATGGTTATATCTAGATATACATTTAAAGTGATACCGGCCTTAATTACAAGATATGTCTTCCGCAGACTTTTGGATGGTTAAGTCAGGTTGTTTTACCTATCCTGAATCTCTATTTTTAAATACAGACTACAGACTTTTGAATAAGGAAAAAGTAGTTTAGTTAATTTCAGAAATCTTTGGACTTTGCTTGCAGTAAATGTTCTTTTCATAATACAGGCTTTGAAACTTCTCTGTTTCAGTGTTCCCAGCCTTTTTGTAACCCAGCTTCACACTTGAGAAAATTGGCAGTGATTAATTTTTCTCTGGGAAATTGGTAATTCCTTCCTTCCAAATCAGGAGCCTTAAAGGAGTATTTTTAAACTGGTTTGAGAAATTAATTGTATAACGCAATGCATTGCCTGCCTGCATGGCAGACACAAGGGGTGTACCTTGTCAGCAGTCTTTGAAGGTGGAAAGAAAATAAAGCGACTTAGATGACGCTTGGGGAATGGTTGTTAGAGAGTGAGATGGAGTGAAGGAGCTGTGAAAGCTTTTGGTTTTCTGGTTTCCTTTTGAAAAGAGCTGTCTAACCTGAGGTATTTTGTAATATGCTGGGAGTTAAGAAGAAATGTGTGCAGATGCTCAAGATACTGCAGACGGGCTGGATGTTTTGAATATGGGAAGAGTAGACAGTGTTGAGATTTGAGTGGGTAATCATCAGCAGAGCTGTGCACAAATGAAGTTTTGTTCAGATTAGGGAATTACTCTGGGGAGATAATGCACGGGGAATGACCGCAGTCATAGGGCCTATGTGTCTTGGGTGATACTGGTGTCTCTAAAGGACAGGGTCCTGGGTTGATACTGTAATACAACGCTGAATTGAGAGGTCTGTGATGACGACAGAGACAGAAAAGGATTGAATCGCTGGAAAAACTTACATAAGAAGTGGTAGTAGAATATAAAGCTTCTGTTTCTAGCCCTGGTCAGATGTAGCATCACCTCTTACACCTTTGGTATAAGACTAAAAATTGAACCAGAAAAACCTGTCAGAACATCTTTTATATGAGGAGAGAAGAATTTGGTATTGAAGAATATTGGTAGTTGTTAATCTTTTAATTTACTTCGGGCAGATGTGTTGAAAGCATTCAGAAATTTAGCACTGTCTAGGTAAGTCCCAGTAAAGATTGGTTAGGAGGTGGGGTGCTGGCAGAGCTGTCAACATGTGTGCTAATGTGTCTTATCAGCTGGTGCTGTGACATAGCGTATGCTTAGGGTCAGTGCTGCTGCGACATGAATGTATTACACGTCACAGTAGATACCTATATGCAGTGTGGAAAAACCAGAGTTTATGTGGAAAGTGTAGCTTTTTATCTAAGCTACAAAATAAAAACAAATAGTAAATTTATAGACAAATAAAAGGGAGGATGGGAGTAAGGAAGGGCGTAAGTGCAACTACTTAAAGCTCGCTCTGTCTTTTAAGAATGCTGCTATTTTCATGTCTAGGTCAATTTTCTTGTGTTCTCCTAGGTTAATGATCCAGGAAGTGAGTTCATTTTTGTTGTTGATTGTGGCGTAACATTATCTAATCACCATTAACAAATGAGATAATGGATCGGTAATTTTTTTGTTCCACATCTTGTTCAAACTGCTTAGCAGTTGTGGGAAAAATTAAACAGACTCAGTAAGGAGAATTTGAGCGATTATGACCCTGTTTTTGAAAAATGTTAAAGCTCACACTGCATGCAAGGGTTCAAGCTGTAGCAGAAATCCTGTATACCCCCTACTGCACGTCAGAGATGAGATTTGATATATACTAAGTTTACCTGGTTTTTATTTTAGATATGACAGTGATGGCTGGTGTCCGCCTTTGCCAGTTCAGACCTACCTACATCAGGGCATGGAGGATGAGCTTGAAGAAGACGATGATCGTGTTCCCACACCTCCCGTCCGAGGAGTAGCTTCATCGCCTGCAATCTCCTTTGGGCAACAGTCAACTGCAACCCTCACGCCTTCTCCACGAGAGGAGATGCAGCCAATGCTTCAAGCCCACCTTGATGAATTAACTAGGGCTTACCAGTTTGATATAGCAAAGCAGACATGGTAAATGTTTGAAGGGGGCACCTGCGGTCTGGGAAATGAAAGCATAATAATAATTTATTCCTTGATGACATAGATATCGGCTGTGTTCAACAACATTTCAGTAATGTTTCCAAAGCAGTAAAATGGAAGAAGAAATAGCAAAACTGTATCTACAGTGTGAAGGCCTTAAACATTAGTAGGTGCTTTTTAAACCTTAATGCTTGGTAATATGTTAAATCTAAAGAATATTCCTCTGGAGTTTTGTATACATTCAACTAAGTAGTTAACACCCACATACTGACAACTTTTATACAGTTCAAAGTACTCTCTTTTGAGGCTGGTAAAAGATGATTTTTTTAGGATTTTCAAAAATATTGAGGTTCTAAATTCCTGATTAAAAATAATGCTAGTCACCTGAAATAGCAATGTAGCAGCTTTTACCCTGTGTCACACGAAAATGAAGCATTTGCATGTCTGACTGTAGTGTGAAATACCATGAAAATTTCTGATTCATAGGGAAAAACCCAGAAATAGCAGGAAGGAAGTTGTTAGAATTTACAAAATGGATCTAGCGTTTTAGTGCGCTTTCTGCCTATTTAAAGGAAAAGCAAGCAAATACCACAGTAACATTTCCCCTGCAAAACAAACAGAAGCAATCTCTTCAGGGACTGAAAAAGAACTTGTCAGCTGCACCAGGCTGGGGATACGGTGAAGGTCAGTTGCTTTCTGGATGTTCCCTAAGCCGCAGTTGTCCTTTTACAACTTTTCTATCCAGACAAAGCCCGTGAATCTCGGAGGAGAGGAGCAGAGCTAGTTACTGAATGGCGCGCTGCCAGCGGAGGAGCAGCCTTTCTTTGCTGGTAAATAAAGCCACAAAGTTATTCAGCTTGAGCTACCATAAATAGATCAGGCAGGTAGGCAGGCGGTGCCAAATCAAAGCCAGCTGTTTTCCCTGGACACCGTCGAAGCCTCGAGCCTTGTCTGCAATCTGCACTTAATCAACAGGGTACTTTGGTCCCGCTGCAGTGTCACGCTGCCAAGCACGGACCCCGGCCTGCCTGTGGGACAGACCCAAATCCCAGGCAGCAGCTAGACCTGGCCTTTTGAAGGTAGCTGACTTCTGAGCCAGCACACAGATGCATACCCTGTCTGCGCGGTCAATCGCTGCTGCATTTTGCAGCTGTTACCCTTTCTATGCCCTACAAACTGTGGGTGCCAGTCTGGGAGCGGATAACGTGGTAGGACTCTGTAGCAAAGCCTCTTGCAGCTGACAGGAAAGGTCTTGCTCCCTTTCTGAAGAAATGAAAATTGATTGGGAACTTTCATAATGTGCTTAGGAATATACAGATTTTAATGTCGCTCTTGTGTAAGGTCACAAGAACCTGAAATTCTGAAAAAAAAAATAGAAGAGAGAACCTGTATTTTCATACTAGGAGTTTATAGCGGGTATTAGGGTAAATATTGAGAGTTGCAAATACAAATTATTTTTGCAGCAGTTGTGACATGGAATTGTTTAATGCTTTGATATTGTCTGGCTGGACAGATACCATGCTGTTCCACAAGTGCAGTTCAAAGTCAGTGGAAAGTCCTCCATTGTCTTAAGCGGGAAGAAAGATTTCTTAGTTTTCTTTTCACAAAGTTAACCTGTCCAGTGTAGAGGGGGGGAAAACAAAAGAACAAGATGAGACCTTTCAGATAGGATACTGTAGGAGTAACGGAAGAGAAATATAGAGACCAGCCAACTAGAAATTTAAGAAAGAGCACATTAGAGATTACTGGAAAAGTACATAATCATTATGGCCTTGATCCAGCAAATCACTTAAGTATATGCTTAACTACAAGTACATGAGGAATTGACTTCAATTGTTCTATCACATGCTTAACATTAAGCATATACTTAAGTATTTTGCTTGATTGGGAGCTAATCACACTGTTTATTGAGGGTTAGTTAGATGGTAGTGCCCTTTAGCTCAGTGTTTTGAACACTGCATAGTTAAGAACCTGCTGTCCAGGCAGAAAAGTATTCAAGAACTGCTAATCAGCAGGGGGTTGTATATCAGAAGGGAAACATTTGTTCTGCAAATAAGCTTCAGAATAAGCAATAATTTAAAATCTACACCAAGGTGGAGAGAGATTCCAATGGTACATAACATTTACCGTGACATTCTCGGATCCGATAGATTTACATTATGGAAAAAAAAAAAGACTGTTTGAATAAAGATAATTACTGCACTTATGAAGTATAGGCAATAATACAGCGCAAAGTTTTCATCAAAAATATATTAGAGCTAGGTGACCAAACAGGTGACAGTTGTAATTTTTTCTGTTATGCTGGTGTCCAAGCAAGAGACCAGCAGAATCCTGGATCCCAATGTGCTGCCGACTCGAATCAGGTCATGGTACCTCATGAAGAGACACCCAAAGATTCCCACGTGCCTAAGTTAGCAGTTTCAAGTGTGGTACATGCTCTTATGCCAAGGCCAGTCATGCCTGGGTCCCCTGGCACAGCTTGCTGTGTACCTGTACTGCTGCATTGAAAGCTGATGGTTGTTCTTTTCCTCTCTAGCCTCTCAGAGGCCGCGCAAATGAAACTCCAAGTCCCATGCTTGCCTTTGGCTATTTAGCTATCCTGTGGGTGTTTTTTTATCTTTGTTTTTCTTTTTTTAATTCTGATGATTGCTTCATGCAGTAATTTCACACATGCATGCCCTAATATTGCTGCAATTAAATCAATTAAACTACTTGGAATAAAGCAAAATAAAAAGGCCTCGCTGATAATGGGTTCATTGGACTTGAAAATTTCTTCTGTCCTACTGGCCATTACCTCCTCTTTGGGGTGAGTTCTGCTTAAGAGCACTGAGTCTGTTTAAGCAGAAGGAATGAAATTTAATTTGGCTCAACGTGTGATTTGCAAGGTGGAATATTGGGTGAGACACTTGTATGCGAGGTTGGGATTCAGAATTGTGCTTTTCCATGGACTTCCTGCCTGATTTATGTAGCCTCTGTCTACATTGTTCCTCATCTGTAAAAGGACAATCTTCAGCTTCCCCATCTTACAGGAGGGGAAGTAAATTTAAGACTGGAAAGTGCTCAGGTACTCTGGTATTAGAAGCTATGGTGAATAACTGAACTGACTTTTCTTGATCTTGACCTAACAAGCACATTTTGTGAATCTACTTCAGGACTTATTGAAAGGCTTATCTTCTACTGACCACAGGGTACAAAGTCTCATCCATTCTGATGACGTTTTCCTGTTTGTTTGTGTAGGCACATCCAAAGCAATACACAACCTCCTCAGGCTCCAGTTCCGCCCCTAGGATATGTATCTGGAAACCTTATTTCAGATTTGGAAACAGATGTTCCAGATGACGATGATGATGAGGATGATATTGAAGAAGAAGCTGTAGAAATCAGTAGGCCACTAAGAGGTCTAGAGCATACTCCAGGCTCCAGTATGGACAATCTAGACAGCTCTGTGACAGGTAACCAAACACAGTTAACAGTGACACCAACTTGTTCCTAACAGTAAAATACATCATCAATCAAACACTTTCTAAGTGAAAATTTATTCCACTCTATTTCTGTAACATTTAGAATGCGTTAATATTAAACACTAAAGTTAAAGAAGGATTTGAAAATACTTTGCTTTGCTGCAAAATGATAAGAAAATTCATGAATTTTAAAAAGCTTTAAAGACTTGAAAGAAAACTCAATTATATCCTAGCTTTCATGAAAAGTTCAGTCTACTGGAGAAGCAAGCCACTTACTTACATAAAAAGGAGGGGCAAGACTTTGGCTTAGGAATATATATTTCATAAATCAGGAACAGCATAAAAATGTCATCTTAAAGCACTTTTAGATATTTTGCTGGGTAAATGCTTTCGCAGATGAACACAGGGAAGTTAAAAGACTTCAGAATAAAGGTAGTTAGATCAACACAACATTTATTTGTAGAGTAAATACAACATTTATGTAGGAAAAGGTGTATTTTGAACCTACTTTGTATTGCTGAATTTAGCAATTGTTCCCTTTCAGTGAAGATACTTAATTATTCTGACACTCCTTCCTTCACTGATTCTCACCCTTTGCGTGCCTTGGAAAGTTACCAAGGGGTAGCTTGGTACCCCTTGGTACCAAGGGGATCATCAAAGGGGACCTAGAAAGGCATGCTAAACTAATGCACGGAATCTGAATGAATAAAATTGCTGTTGATGAAATGTAGGAAGCAAAAGATATTTTTTGAAAAATGCAGATTTTATATGGACATAATGTACTCTTTGTAAGCATCAGTATATTTCCCTTTAGGTTGAACTCGGGCCTCTATATAAGATACTGTATCCATAATGTACAGCTGTACTGGAGACCCAAATGTACATAGTGTCCATAGCTCATAAAAGCTAGTGGGCGCTTCTTCAGTCTGTGATCTCAGCGGAAGAACACTGAATATTAGTTGTACCTTAAGGGAGACTTGCTCAGTACAACTTACTACCATAGCACCACTGAATTTCGTCTTTTTGTTCTGGACCTTTGAAATTCCAAGGATTTTGCCCCCTTACTTAAACATTGCTACTCTGAAAACACTGCAGGAATATGACAGTGATGGAGCATCAATGCCTGTAATTTTCTTCCTTTTCCCTTGTTGAATTAAATAGTGTATAGCTTAATCCCACTTCCCAGGTTTTCCTTCACCCTAGGGCCAGACTGCTTGCCAATCGAATTAAGATTTAAGTATTGTATCTCTGCTGCTGCGATTTGAAATCCAGATTCAACTGAAGGCCGTAGAGTTGAAGTTTAAATCCCTGAATTGAGAAGGTTAACTTATTAGTGCATGAGTATGTTAAGTCACTTTCCTCGAATTTCGAGTGTAATCTCCTTCAGGCTATAATTCTGCATATTTTTGCATATCTCACTAATGGCTCAGAAGCCTTTCCATTAGGAATGCAGTAACGGTTTTGCACTGGTGATACAGAAATAAATAACCCTCCCCAGGTTGCTATATATTTTCCATTTGGTAGGTATTAATACGTCAATGTTGATATATCTGTAAATCAGAAAACGAATGTTTTTCACATTTGCATTTTCTCCTAATGTTTTGGACCACCCTACCTAGTGCAAAGTAAGGAATAGCTGCATTTCTGCTCCAATTCGCAGACTTCTGTGCTTATTAAAATTTAGCCTTTTATGAGTAACATTCAAGCTTGTTATAATAGTTATAAATCTCATTTAATTATTGGAGTGTTAAATGTTTAATTATTGGAGTGTTAAAAACTTCCTGGTGTATTTTTTTGGAAGAAATTGGGCAGAACCTGGTAATGTAGACTGGGAGTGTACTTAAGGTAAATCTAAATTTCCACCACTATCTTGATGTGGCCTCATCCAGCTGAAAATCAAGGATTTTCTTTTGCTTTTTCTTTTCCTTGTTTAATTACTAGCTGGATCTGTTCTTTGATCTGGTTCACCGCATGACAAGGTGTTTGCCAGCGCTGCAGGAAGGGAATGTGCAGCTGGAAGGGAAGCAAAATGACAGACTGCCCCTGTAGCTTATAGCCAATGCTTAGATTGACTTAAAACAATTAGGAAACTACAGCTTTACAAAAATAGATCGAGAGCGTTAGTCTAAATGATCTGTGAAATGGCAAACTCTTCAAATAACAAAACTACTTCTGTTTTCCTTGGTTACTAAAAAGGCTTTTGCCTTTGATTTTCTGAGGGCTTTTTTGGGGCTCGTTTTTTTTCTAGGGGTGGAAGGAAATTTCTTCTTATACTTGGGGGAATTGTTTCAAAAGAGAATTTTAATTTTTGTGTATCTGTTTCTGTTAACTCTTCCAGGCTGCGTTTACTGGTGTTAAGGAGCGTATATATCAAATTGCATTCATTGTTTCTAAGCTGTTTCGTGTTCTTTAATTTGATTGCTTTTAGAATACTGTAGAACAACTAAATTGTTCTTTCTTGCACTGAGAAAATGTAAGCTACTTCTTTTCATAGGGCTTTTAGTGACTTAAACCAGCATTTTACTAGGAATTTATATACCACGTTTTCACGCCTTGAAACATTATATTAAAAAATGGAGGCAAATGAGAACAGCTGACCTGGATGAAGCGAGATTTCTGTACATTTTGAAGTGTGTCCTGTGAGTTCAGTGTTTGTGAGAAATCTAAATGGACACCCCTTGGTCCAGACTTCCTCCGAATAGAGTTGCTGTACGGTGAGCAGGGCGAGTTTCCTCGCCCTGTACTGTTAGCATGCCTCAGCGATGACTTGAAGATACCCACTCTCAGGGTGAAATGGTACGTTGTTCTTTATGGCTGAGCTGAGACCGAGGTTTTCATCCAACGCCAAATGTGGGATTCTCTGAGGGGAAACACTGGCGCCGTGTGAGCCGAGCTCAAACTGCTAAATTCCTATGAAACCACAGTGTGCTCCTTTAAACTGTTTAAAAGTCAGGTTGTCTTCCAGGCCCTTGAGTTTTAGTTACAGCTAACTGAAGATTCAGCAAGGATTTAATCTGCGCTATTAAGCTTTTCTCTTTGCAGGTGGCAGAGACATAATGTTGACGTGAAAAGAAAGGAGGAATGCACAGTAACTATTTCTTAACATTTTCCAGATATTGCAAAGAAAACTCAAAGGGGGAGGTATAGTTTTGAACGTTTGTGGGATAGAATATGAAATTAAAGCCAAAGTTTTGCTTCGTTCCCAGCACGGTTTGTTAGGATACTGAGTTACTGATTCTGATTAAAAAAAAAAAAAAAGAAGAAAGAACTGAAAAGCAGCTGTAAAACTTCTGCTCACTTGACTTGTAATTCACAATTATTTAGTGTTATTTTTGCTTTCAGAGACACTTTGACATTTTCTTTTTTCTTTTGCCTATGTTTAATGTTTGCCTTTATAATGAATTGCTGTGCAGGGTTATGGCATGAATGGTCATGAAGAGTCTGTTATATGATTCTACTTTAATAGACTTAATTAATTGCACATGATGACTGTATAAGAAATGAATTTGCTTCTCACTGAAATCACCAAGAACAGCACTAGGTTTTGTCAGATCAAAGTATTATGGTTTGGGGGTTTTCTTTGCCCTCTCCTTATCTTCTCCTCCCTCAGCACCACCAGTGAAGCTGCTAGCGAGAGCTGTTGTGTCTTCAGCTCTGGTGCATTTTGACTGAGGGGAGAGATACGCCCATTAACTAGCACGGAAATTAGAACAAGCCCTCTTCTACCTAACTGATACAAACTGATATTCAGATCAAAGTATTATGGTTTGGGGGTTTTCTTTGCCCTCTCCTTATCTTCTCCTCCCTCAGCACCACCAGTGAAGCTGCTAGCGAGAGCTGTTGTGTCTTCAGCTCTGGTGCATTTTGACTGAGGGGAGAGATACGCCCATTAACTAGCACGGAAATTAGAACAAGCCCTTTTCTACCTAACTGATACAAACAGAGATACAGTACCACTGTAAATGGATAACAATTTTTTTTTTCAATAGAATTATATGGATCCGAAACTATAAAGATTTCCATAGGTTTTATAGCTCAGCAAGGAAGAAAATCCCTTATTTGGCATGTTTTGGTCTTGATTAAAAGAATCACTGATCACTGTCTGTATGGTAAAAGTTGCTCATTCATTGTGTCTGAGCACAAATGGAATAATTCTTGAAAACTACACAAAATCATTTTCATGAGCCATATTTTACCATGGCAGAGTTCAATATTTATATTGATTTGCTTAGGGATACCTATTGCAAAAGATTCTATTTTATAAGCAGTTAGACAGATTGCATTTAATAGGAAGAATGTGTTCCATGGATTAAATATGTGCTCAGAAAATAGGAAACTGCTACTTTTTGTATCTCATAAAAATGGTAATGCAACAATTAGCAGGGTCATATTATAAAGCACAGACTTTACTCTAGCTTAATGGATCTAGGGATATGCATTCATCAGCAAGGATGGATTTAGCATAAAACGACATGTAAATGAATTGATGACTGATCATAAATTAATTTTAGTGCTGAAGAAGTAATAGAGACACAGCAAGATGCCACTTTATCATAGTATTTTACTGCTCAGCAACATTTGAGCAACTACTTAATGTTCTGTGTGCATTTCTTTTCTAACAGCTTGAATAAATTTGAGAAATTTTTGTGCCTTTCAGCAATATGGAAACCAAAAAATCTAGAAAGATTGAAATTGCAAACACAAATAAATTTGGCTAAGTGACATAAATTCATTTTTCATTAAATGTTTATGAAGGGCATTAATTATGGTTGGACCTGTGAAATCCCAAATATGTATGTATGATTTTTACCTCCTTTTGTTTAGTGTTTCCTGCTTCAAAATAAACATTTTAAAATGTAAGGGTTTATTTCAGGTGTATACATTTAAATATTTGGGCATTTATGCCCAATATTAGCCCTGTAAGACCAGGTCTGTTTTTTGAAGTGTGATCGTATTTATATTCTGCATTCAGATCCTTCTATTATTCTTTC